TATATATATATGAGTAAATAAAAGATTTTTATTATCAATGGCACTAACCACATTATATTATAATCCCTTAACAGAGGGTTATACGGATGCCGGACAGAGGCAATGCCACGGAGAAAACGTTAATCTTTTTCTTAAAAAATATGAAGCGACTGATAATCTGTTTCTTTCAGGTTGGTATAGAACTATAAGGCAAAAATAGTTGGTAAGGCTACTAGAGGTACACATTTGGACGTAAAAGAAACTGTACTTGAAAAAGTGTACTTGTCGTGGATTCAAGGAAAAGGAAGCAAGAATGTAAACATATTCCTCCAATGGATTAGTTTGGTACAATTAAAGATTTAACTATTTCAGGGTGTTGATATTTTATTAAGTTTAAGTTTTATATATTTTTTTTTCGAATGAGAAACATATATATATATATATAAGGGAATGAAATCCCAACAATATCTCCAACACACGAAGAAATGCTAAAAAGATATAAGTGCATGTCATTCAAAATAAGACTTTTGGCTAAAGGCTAAATTGGCGCCATCAACTACCAAATTAGTCTCCCTATATATATGAGCAATAGAAACCACTTAGTTTCTAGCCAAGAAATGGCAAATGTTTTGACAACTTCACCATTTCGATGAGCCACAAACCCTCTAGATCGTTGCACATGACTCACACTCGAATTATCAAGTTGCAAGTTCTATATACGTTACATATATTAGTTTATTTATTATGAGATAATTACAGGTAAATATTTATAATAAAATATATTAATTAATCGGTAACCTGATTAAAAAAAACTAAAAATGATACAATACATTATACTACAGTAATAACATAAAAAATCGTGTATATAACTTAACTTATGTTTTAATCAATTAAAGTAGAGATCGCCAGATTTTTCATGATTAGAGAACCAAGGAGTATACACCCATTGCCCAAGGCATCAACCAGTTATATGGATTGGTTTCCGGCGTACGTTTTTAGTTATATTTTCAGGGTTTGGTACACGAGTAGAAGCAGAAGCAGAACTAGAATTTTAACTTTATGCGTTTAGATTTTAGAGGCTTACTTTAAATGCTAATAGTTGGGTTTTAAATTTAATATATGTGCATATTTGTTATAGTATGTTAGTTGCAAATATAGTCTAGATACATTTACCAGATTAATCCAGATACATTTAGCAGATTCTGTAATATTCTGTTTCATTTGTTTTGATTTCTTTCCTTAGATAGATTTCTTGTAACTGTATAAATTCCTTTCATATTCATGAATAGAAATCATCAGCTTTTACAATTAAATTACATGGTATCAGAGTCGCTAGGGCTCAATTTATTCTCAGAACTTTCTCCGGCGTCAGGGTGGGCAGCGAGTGAGTCACACGCGCCACCTCCACCTCGTGACTATCTCTCAAGTTCCGGCGTCATCTTGTCAATTCCAACATATTTCAGGTGTTCTTTTCTTTCCGATGTTAAAACATTGTTTGGGATTTATTCTTCACGTCCAGGTTGGCCTTTTTTTCCCTTATACTTCTAAGACAGTCGATTTGGTAATTTATTTTGTACTTTTGCTATTGCTGGACTCTGTTCGGATGTCAGATTGCTATTGTTTTGTGGGTATCACTGCTGATTCATTTGGTATCATTTACATCTTGCTCTTATCTACAAGTTTTGGGTGTCAAATTATTTACTTTTGCATCTATTTATCAGTTTCTTGACTAAGCATCAATTAAAATGTCTAATGATACAACTTCCGTGACTCAAATAGTTTTAGCATTATCTAAAATTACAGAGTATCAATTAAATGGGTCTAATTATTTAGATTGGAGTAGGAAAATAGGGGTATATTTATGTAGCATTGAAAAAGATGGCCATCTTATTCAGGACCCTCCAACTGATGGAACTAAAAAGGTTGGATGAGAGATGACGCTAGATTACTCCTGCAAATAATAAACTCTATTGATAATGAAGTAGTTGGTTTGGTTAATCACTGTGAGTTCGTTAAGGAGTTAATGGATTATCTGGAGCATCTATATTCCGGCAAAGGTAATGTATCTCGGATTTATGAAGTTTGTAAGGCTTTCTATCGTCCTGAGAAGGAAGCTAAGTCACTCACCACGTATTTCATGGAGTTCAAGAAAACTTATGAGGAATAGAACGTGATTTTGCCATTCAGTACAGATATCAAAGTGCAACAAGCTCAAAGGGAACAAATGTCAATAATGAGTTTCTTATTTGGACTTCCCTCTGAGTTGGAGGCTGCTAAATCACAGATTCTCTCCAGTTCTGACACCACTTCTCTGAAAGATATTTTCAGTCGGGTGTTGCGCACAGAGAGTACTCCATCCACCGAGCAGATCAATGTATTTGTTACGAAAGGGAAAGGAAGAAATGATGCTAAGAGGTGGAACAATAACAATGATGCTGGAAAGTGGAGCAATAACAATGATGCTAGGCGGTGGAACAGTAATAAAGGAAGAGACAACGACATTATTTTCCGCAACTGTAAGGAACCTGGACACATGAAATGAAGCTGTAAGAAATTACAGATTCATAATCAAAGAGCCCAAACTGCCAATATAATGTTGTTGCTGCTTCTAACTCATCCTTAGAGAAAACTGTTACAATCTCAGCCGATGAATATGGCAAAGTTTCTCAATATCAGAAATTAATGAAAGGATGTACTCCATTTATATCTCTTGCTGAGTCACGTAACAAATGTCTTATTTCCTATTCAAATAAATGGGTTATTGATTCTGGTGTCACAGATCACATGACAGGTAATTCTAAAATCTTTTCGGGTTTTCAGTCACATAAGGCACTGCCTCCTGTAACTATAGCTGATGGTTCAACCTATAACATTGAGGGATCAAGGACTGTTAAACCCACTTTAACAAATTACCATGTCCTCTGTTCTAAGTTTACCAAGTTTTGCCTTTAGTCTGATCTCTGTGAGTAAGTTTACCAAAGACCTAAATTGATTTATCTCATTCTTTCCTGATCACTGTCTTTTTCAGGATCTTATGACGAAGTAGATTATTGGTAAAGGGCATGTATTTGATAGTCTCTACATCCTTGATACATGAGTGCCCGGTCAGTTGGTTGCTCAAGTGTTGTCTCGCCATTTGAAGCACATTGTCGGTTGAGACATCCTTCTCTACCTGTTTTGAAGAAGTTATGCCCCCAATTTCATGATGTACATGTGGTAGAATGTGAGTCTTGTCACTTTATAAAACATCATCGAAGCTCGTTAGGTCCTTGAATTAATAAACAAGCTGATTTTGCTTTTGAATTAGTTCATTCAAACATTTTGGGACCATGTCCAGTTGCGTCTAAAGGTTGTTTAAGATATTTTGTTACTTTTGTGGATGATTTTTTCCGAATGACGTGGATTTATTTTATGAAGAATCGCTCTGAGGTATTTTCTCATTTCTCTAAATTTTGTGTTGAGATTAAGACTAATATTTATGTACGTACATTAAGGAGTAATAATGCTAAAGAACACATGCCAACATCATTTCAGAACTATATGAGTCAACATCGTATTCTCCACCAATCCTCTTGTGTTGATACACCCTCTCAAAATAGAGTGGCTGAGAGAAAGAACATATACCTGCTTGAGACCGCTCGTGCGTTGCTATTCCAAATGAAAGTTCCTAATCCCTTCTTTTTCCTAATAAGTTATTATTTCCATTAGAGCCAAAGGTGTTTGGTAGCACATACTATGTTCATGATGTGAGGCCTCATGTCACTAAACTGGATCCAAAGGCGTTAAGATGTGTCTTTTTGGGATATTCTCACCTCCAGAAGAGGTATCGGTGCTATGTAAGGCCCCGTAAAATTTCGTAAAGGAATTTAAGGTTTCATGGTGCCGAGGTAGGCTTACGTGTTTGAGGATTGTTTTGGATTGAACAGTGCGTTGGAGAGTAGAAGAAAATCTTCGGAAGCGTAGGGCATTTCTGCGGTCGCAGAATTGAACTGTGGACCGCAGATCTGCCGCGAATTGAAGCAGAGATATTGTTGAATATGCAGGTCATTTCTGCGATCCATTATGCGATCGCATATGCACTTCGCGACCGCATTTCAGTCGCAGACTTGGCATGTGAAAATCTGGAATATGATTATGCGGTCCAGTCTGTGGTCGCAGAATAGGTCTGCGGACCACAGAACTGTCGTAGAATGGGTCAGAAGAGTCCAGTTTTTGGGCATCATTTTCGCGGACATTATGCGGGTCGCATATCGATTATGCGGCACAGTCTACGATCGTAGACCCGGTTTCGACATGTTTAAAAAGTTTTGGAAATTTTATCCAATCCCATTTTTATAAAAAGGCTTTGGGGGTCATTTTTAACGGTTTCATCTGATATTTTTAGAGAGAGGTGAGAGTATCTTAAAGAGAGAAAGAGAAGACCTAGCCATTTGTTCATCAATTCTTGCTCAAGGCTTGAAGATTTCACAAGGATCTTGCTAGGGCTTCAAAGAGGTAAGAATTTCTTTCCCCAATTCTTCAATTTCGAGTTTGGAGTAAAAGATGTGTGATTGAGAGTATGATTAGTGGGTGTGGGAGTATTATGTATATATGCATTTACCAATAAGGTTTGTGGGAAGATTGTTGAGCTCAAATAAGTAAAGATTGGGTTGTGGAATGAAGGAAATCTTGTAGAAGAACTTTGTAGCCAAATTTGCACACCTAGTATTTGATAAAATGCTCACATGAGATGAAACCATGAATATCTTCCTAATTTGTGTTCAATTTTGTTATGTCTCAAAATAGATTGGGATTGCTACGATTTTTGGAACGTTGTAGTAATTTAAGGAAAGCTCAAATCGAGGTATGTTGGCTAAACTCCTCTCTTAGAATTGAATCCCACGGTATTCATGTAATTTATGTAAGTCCCGAGTTGTTCATTATAAAATTGGCTATTCCGAATAAGCTTGTGTTGAAAGATATATGTTCAATGTGTATCTCAAATGCTTTTATCATGTTATGTTATCATTTGAGAATATGTTCAAAGTATGAGCTGTGTATTAAAAATATTTCGACTTCAAGTTAAGTTCAAACGAAGGCTATTATTCCAATTTTTGTGAAAAATCTCTATATGCCTAAGACTCTTAATTGCTCACATGTGTAATAAAAATCTTGATTTGAAACGCCTTGTTGTTGTTGATGATGATGATGTTTGAAAGTGAAAAAGGTGAGCATGAAATACTAAATACGGTCGACGTGCCAAGAATAATTTTATAATTGTGGCCACTAATGCCAATGAAATGAAAAGATGTGAAAGAAGTATGAAACGATATGATTAGTAGAAAAGGATGATATCGATCCACACATCATTGTGGTGAGACGACCTAGCCGATCGGGTCATGATCGGACGCCATGTTGCACACATGGTGGTGATTGTGCTGGAAATTGTAATTGTGGTTGATGTCTCGGATGGGATGGCCTAGCCGATCGGGTCGTGATCGGACTCCGTGCTAAAGTACGGTGGTATTGGTATTGTGAACAATGGCATATTGGTACTAAAAATCTCCCAACTTAAGATACGGAAATGTATTTGAACACTATCTTGATCCTAATTTGAGGTTTGATGTTGTTTGTGGCTTCCATTGATGTTATGATTGTTCTTGCTTATATTATTTATCATTCTATTGAGAAGGTGTTTTGTCATTCATACTTGTACTATTCCATATGTACTAACATCCCTTTTGTCGGGGGCGCTGCATCTTTAACGGATGCAGGTGGTTCCACAGCAGGAGACATTGATCAGCGATAGCGGTACACCCTCTTCCCAACTGACTTGGTGAGCCCCACTTCATTTTAGGGTCATGTATCTTTTGTTCCTCGTGTATTGTGTTTGAGGTATAGCTGGGGCCTTGTTGTCGGCACTATCATGGTACTCTTTTGTATCTATTAGAGGCTCCGTAAATATGGTGTGAGTTGTATTGGTATTGGAAAAGTCAAGATAGTAATATTGTATGTCTGTTACATCTCCCGCTTCAAACTATGAAAATGTGTGTATTTTAAGACTTTATAAATGGAGTAACTAATAGTGTTGGAATTAGTGTTGTTCATGAACCCTCTCGGTGTTAATTAATGAAGTATATATTCTCTTTATTCATAAGTGAGTTTGGGTAGAAAGTATCTAATAGACTTGCTTGACCGGGTTCACTCGGTTGAGTGCCGGTCGCGCAACCCGAGTTTGGTACGTGACATGCTGCTCTCCAAATCTTCATCGATATATGGTCTCGACAGATGTGGTATTCTCTGAGAACATGCCATTCTTTTTCTCTTCCCACACTTATCCAAGTCAGGGGGAGAGAGAAGAATGGTTGATAAATAAGATCACTTCACCAAGCAAAGAACAACCAACGGTTGATGATGTTCCTTCTACTAGTGCCTCTCCAGTAGAGTGATTAGATGGTGGTGTTTCTTCTGATGTTCCCTCTGCTCCAGAAAAGCTTCCGATTGTTCAAGTCTATTCGAGGAGACAAAAGACCAATGATACATGTCCTGCACCAACTCCTTCATCATCAGATCCTCCTCCACTCAATCCTTTTTTAGAAAGCCTTGATATTCCAATCGCTCTTCGCAAAGGTAAGCGTCAATGTCAATCAACATATTCCATTGCTAACTTTATCTTCTATGACCATTTATCTCCTGCATCTAGCTCTTTGATTGCCTCTCTAGACTCTATCTTTGTGCCAAAGACAGTTAAAAAGGCTTTGAATCACCCTGAGTGGTATATGCAATGCTTGAAGAGGTCCATGCGCTAGATGAAAATCACACTTAGGATTTGGTAGACTTACCAAAGGGGAAGAAGGAAGTGGGATGCAAATGGGTCTTTGTATTCAAGGTAAATCCAGATTGTTCTGTGGCTAGGCTTAAGGCTAAACTAGTGGCTAAAAGGTATACTCAAACTTATGGAGTGGAGTATTCAGACATCTTTTCTCTGGTGGCCAAACTTACTTCTGTTCGATTATTTATTCCCTTGATGCCTCCGAGCATTGGCCTTTACATCATCTGGATATTAAGAATGTATTCCTTCATGGTGATCTCCAAGAGGAAGTATACATGGAGCAACCACCTTATTTTATTGCTGAGAGAAAGTATGGGAAAGTATATCACTTGAAGAAATCTTTGTATGGTCTGAAGCAGGAGTTCCCGTGGCTAGTTTGGAAAATTTATCGAGGTAGTTCAAGAATTTGGGCTTTTAAATAGCAAATGTGATCACTCAGTCTTCTATAGACAATCAGCGGTTGGCATTATCCTTCTCGTTGTATATGTTAATGACATTGTCATCATAGGAAGTGATTTTGTAGGAATCTCTTCTCTCAAATTATTCTTGCATACCAAGTTTCATACGAAAGACTTGGGGCAGCTGAAATACTTCTTGGGAGTAGAAGTAACTAGAAGCAATAAAGGAATTTCCATATCTCAGAGAAAGTATATCCTTGACTTACTTGCGGAAACTCGAAAGTTGGCGGTCAAGCCTTGTAGTACTCCAATGGTTCCCAATGTGCTTTTGGCACTGAATGGAACTTGAGTTAATTATCTTTGGAACAAGTTGGGCATGATCAATATCTATGCTCCAACTTGAGGAGAAGTGTTATAGAATATTAGTTATAAATATAGTCTAGATACATTCACCAGATCAGTCCAAATACATTTAGCAGATCATGTCATATTCTCTTTCATCTGTTTTGATTTCTTTCCTTAGATAGATTTCTTGTAACTGTATAAATTCCTTTCATATTCATGAATAGAAATCGTTAGTTTCTACCATTAAATTATAATATTTAATAATTTTTTTAATACAAATATGCTATTTGATTAAAAACTAGTAAGTTTGACCGAACTCGTATATAAAGTTCTACCTCCGCCAATCTGTATTGTCTCATCCTATAGTATGTTGCGGTCTTGCGGACTTGGGATGCGCTTCAAGATTTTTTAAATATGTTAGAATAGTTGTAGTTTTTAAATATGCTACTTGGAAATAAAGATGATTGTATTCTAGAAGTTCCAATAACGTTTCAGCTATGTTGGTCGGGTATGACCAGACATGGGCCAAGTATGAAGTAAAATACCATAGGGATAAATGATGCCCAAATGGGCTTTCAGGTGAAGCCCAGTCGTATGAGACTTTTCCAGCTGCTGACTTCCATTTGAAGTATGGGCCTCAAGCAAAGGCCCAAATAAACAAAAAAAAAGACCATGAGCTTACCTACAGGAATTTTGCTGCACCTAACCCATTACACATTGATTCATAAACATATGGTTGGCCCAAAAATAAAAGTAGGCACAATATCCACTAAACTAATTGAACCATGATTAAACACTTTTAATAAACTGAACTGATGCTATATTTAAATACAATTGACAACTAATTCATACATCTGAAAACCTAAAATAGGATACATATACATTAGAATGATGTTTTAAGCTAGTTACATATTTAAATAAACTGATGGTTCTCTATAATCACTAACAACTCGCCACATCTTGTGATCCTTTTGGCTTGTTAGACAAAATATCTACAAAGCTATCCTCACTCGCTAAGTTCGACCATTATGCTGAGCAAACATGAAACCAGATTCTTGTGTCAATTTACAATTAAGTATACATAATGAAACTTGCACACATTTCAGAAAAAACAGAACGACATTCAACAAATCAATCACATGATCTTAATATTCCAACAATTGCACATATTAAACAAAGAGAAGAACTACAACAGATTTAGACTTTAGACATGCTGAATCGAAAACTTTACAAGAGTATAGCATAAACAATCTAACTTCATTTATGGTTCGAGTAGAAGATAACAAAAGTGGATAAACATACCTACCAGCAGAGAAACAGCAACAGAGAAACAAAGAGAAATCTGAATTTCAAAGCTACAGCTCAACCACAGCAGAATGAATACAGCAGCAAAAACAATGAATTCTTCAACTCAAACAGCTATGGAAATCCAAGAGATATGCAGCAACAGAGTAGGAATTAGAAACAGCTTTGAATCTTTTTTTTTTCTGTATCTAAATTGAATTTCAGAGTGTTTTCTTTGAGAGAAATCAGCGAGGATGAGGGAATATGCGTGGGAATGCTGCAGAGAATCAGTGTGTTTTTCTAAAGAATACAGAGATAAAAGATGCCTCAAAATGAGTGTGTGAGTGAGTCTTTAATGTAGAAAAATGAGGGAATGTGTGAGAGAATCTGTCAGCTGAAAAATAGGAAAGAAGCATCTATTTTTTAACAGATTTTTGGACAGCTGTCCATTCAGGTTATTCCTTCCTCTTTTAACAGCCCCTTTAACTTCTGAATTTACCCCTTTTTACCCTAAATTTGACCTAATTTTCCTTATCTTATTGCATTTTAATCCCTTTATAGAAGCTTACTACATAGCTACCTAAGATTCCCTATTTTGCTTTCCCAATTACCCCCTTAAATTACTGTTTTTTACTCTTTCTCCTTAACTTTCTTTTAATTCTATCAGCACCCTTAATCAAATCTCATCACCAAGTCAAGACATTTGATTTATCACTTTAGTAGAGGAGTAATAGTTCAAACCTGGAGTCAACAGAATTCACAAACTAAACAGGATTAAACTCCTAAACACGCTCGATGATACTTAATCACATGAGAAAACTTTCAGGAATTCAGAAATAATTCAAACAATGCCTTAATTAATCCTAAACAGAGACGGTCAGAACAATTCATCAAATAGACCTAAAACAAATGAGAACATACCAACTCAGAAGATATACCTTCCACTCCCAACAGGTAGTCAAACAGAAATTCCGGCGAGCAATGGACGAGGATAAAAACTGGCCAGTCAATCACGAATTGACCGAATCTCAATGACTTCGAAATGGTCCAAAATTAACGCTAATAGATTGCTCTTGTCAAGAGCAATCAATCAACGTAAATTTCGAGCCAAGTCGAATTAAACTTACGGAAGAAAATCGGAAAGGGGCAAAATGGTTATGGGATTTGAACTGAGGAAAGGATGAGGATTATAGGGTGACATTTTGGGGTGGTGTGGAGTGGTGCCACCGCCAGGGGTAGCTTGTTGTGGTGGTAGGCGGCTAGGGTAAGAGAGTGAGAGAGATGAGAGAATGGGAGTGGTTCTTAGGGTTTTGGGGTCTGATTCTGACAGTTATAAGGGGGGGAGTAATTAGTTCCAGGCCGTTGGATGAGGTCTCGACGAACGGTTGAGATTAAATCAATCCAACACGGCGTCGTTTGGAGCCGGATGGGAGATTGGGCTTGGGGCGGATTTTGGGCGGATTTGGGCATGTTGAAGGGGAACTGGGCCAATATAGTTGGTCCAATTTGACCTAAAGAGTTGGCTGGCCCTTCCTTTCTCTTCTTTGTTTTTTGAGTTTAGCCACCAATTAACTATCCTAACATGTAAAGCTGAAAATTGCAAAATTAACCTATTTATTGATTTATCTAACAATTAGGCTAGTTAAAGTGTAAATTAACAATCTAAGTTAATTAGTTAAACCTAAAAAATGTAAAAATAAATATTAAAGCATTTTTTGATTTTCTGTATTTTCTAGAAATGCAACTAACACGTGATTAAAATCTAGAAATGTAAAGAGTAAAACATAAAATATTATTATTTTGTTGTTGTAGTTTTTATGATTTAAAGTGTCACTAAATATGCTAAAATTTTAAATAGTGCCAAACAAATAAAAATAAAAATAAAGAAAAATTCCTAAAATTTCATAAAGACAATTAAAACTATTTTAGAGTATTTTTATGAGTAATTTAGGCGTGGAGCAAAAATTACACCCTCAAACTACAACTTCAACTTGAATTATTTTTCAAGTTTAAAACCATTTTGTCCTCAATTTCACGAATAAAAGTTACTAACTCACTAGTAAAACCATTTTATTTGTAAGTGAAATCAACAAACAAACGTCAGCGAATTGATGTTCCTAAGCTACTAGGACCAAGAAGTGGTCAAGAGCAACAGATTTAAAGTATGGCCTTAAAATTGCCTGGGAATTAGATTTATCTCCACTTTAAGTAGAAACAGATTTAAAGTATGGTTTAAGTGATTAAATTGAAGGATACATGGTAATTGAATAAATAGATTGCAATGAATTCTTAAACATTAGTTGTAGCTCAAATCTGAGAAAAGAATAATCTGCCAAAGCTATGGTCGATTAATAACTACTTTTTAAACAAATAAGTTCTTAGAAACTAGTAATCTCAAACCTAAACGATCAATGTACAAGTTGATATGCATTGATCTGCCTAGTATAGAGCTCAAAGTACCACAAATCATAGGTGAGCCCAAGCATGAAATGGAGAAAGTATAAAGTCAGAGAAAGTAAATTACAGCGATGAGTAGTACTCTGTTATAAATTGACAAGTAGAGTTGTTCAAAATTGAATGGTAACTAATAACCAAATTGTAAAATTGACTTATTGATATCATATTATCGGATTAATGGTTGGTGAACGAATTGAAATTTTATAATTAACGATTTATCGGTTTGGGAGCAGATTACTCAAGTTCCTTATCAAATAAACCGTAAACCCTTTAAAAATTAATATATTTATTTTTCTATCATTATGTATATAAAGTATGTAACTAGCTATTTGAAACCCTAATTCCCCTAAAGCCCTATTCAGCAGTATTAGTTCTGACTTGCGTTGTAGAGTGGAGATGCTACTTAATTCCTATCTTAATTTCAGGAGTTAATGATAAGCCGTTATTATTTTTAAATTTTAATCTTTTTATTAAAAGAAATATATACCTAACTGTCCAATATTTTATCGACCAGCAAATTATTAATATATTTAAAAATCGATAATTGATTAATCGAACTAACAACATGAATATCCGCTTGATCCATATGATAAACAGCCATAGCGACGAGAAGAAAATAGCGTAGGGATCAATGGGTACACAAAGTAGCATTTGCAAACGGCAAAGCCAGGGCAGCAATTTCCACGTGTCAACCAGCCGCGGACGTGGTCCTCATATGACAACTAATCACACAACACGTGTCAGGAAATGCGAACCTGGTCTCGCGTCCCCACGTCAATAGGACCCCACAAAAATCCGAAAAAGGAGCAGACCTAAAGACAAACCTGAAAGGTAGTGTTAGTAGTAGTCGTAGGCAGTGGACCACCACGCGGCCGCCTTGGATAGTGAGCTGGGGCCCATTCTCCTAGATGTGGGGGCCATTCACATGACCTAAATATATGGCCCACACCACAGCTACACTCTCCTCTTTGGCCCCACCACAACGATAGCTGGACCCGCATTCTGCTGTATATTGACTAGTAATTCATTGACCCACTCACCCCCCACCCCGGGATGGGGACCACCTCCTTTTCGTGGGCCCACATTCCACGTGCACTCGACGAATGTCACGTGCAACTTTGAAGTAACCCAAATGCACGGGGCAAATGACCTCATGAAAAGCACTAAACTGTGCACTGCTACAAAGGGATTTTAAGGTGTTACACACGATGCACGAAAAATGGTCCCGCGCTTAATTAAAAAAGAAGGATGTAAAACCAATCCAACCTAACCAAAACCATTTTGCTTTTCGCAATCACATTAAGGATCGTTAAAAAAAAGCATAAAATTGAGTGCCCCAAAACTAAAAAGTATTAGCAAGTTGATCCAAAGTTAACCAACCTTTGTCATCAAAACAGAGCTACTTCAAAAGGAGGAACCAAATTCTAAAAGCTCAAGGAGTTAGGAGTAGTATCTACAAGCAAAATATTAAAACTAAGACAAAGCTGTGAATTAGCCAAAAGCTAGCGCCTAACTAAAAACATCAAAATGCTAGATGCTTAATCCATAAGAGTGGATAACAAAAGACATGGAAAATTAAAACAAACAGAAATTAAAAGAGAACTTTATAGGCCTAGAACCCTAACCGATTTTCTGCCCCCAGTGAAAATGTATCAGGATTTGGAGGAGGAAGTTTGATCATTTTCAGAGGAACCAGAACCAACCATAAACTGAAGCTCTCTTTTGTCATAAATCTCCAATGAAAAATCCCTAAGCATTTGTGTAGTAGTACTTGTGGTAACACCAGTAGAACTGGAACTTGGAGCCATGGCTGAAACATTCCCATCACTTTTTGACGAACTAACTTGAACCTCAGCAGCAGAGATAATTCCAGGTTGCATTGCAGATACATAATTTGAAATGGGCCTTCCTGGAATATTATATATTGGGGTGGCCCACAACTGAGGTGGATACGAAGGCCCAGCAGTAGTAGCAATAGTAGTAGTACTAGTGGGTGGCGGCTGCACCATAAAGAAAGTCGTCCCACCGGTAACTGCAGTGGTGGGTACAAGCCCATTACTAGAGCCCACTGCCCAAACAGGAAGGAGACTTTGTGGGGCAATTGGAGCCACTGGTGCAAAATGGGACGGCTCATGCACGTCATAAAACTCGCTGTTCGCCGCTCTCTTTCTCCTCTTCGTCGCGCTTTCTCCTTCGCTATTCGTCGCCGGCGAAGTCGTCGGTATTTTCAGCGTTCCGTTAACTGATACGGCAATCGCCGGAACTGTACCCGTTCCGGTAGCATCAATAATAGCAGGCTCGGCGCGTTCTAGAAGCCAACGTATAGTCTCGCCGTCGGATTTATGGCCTAGTTCCCGTGTTAATTGGAAGATTCTAGCAGCACACGCCGCCGGCATACGGATTCTCCGACCACGGCCTTCAACTTTCGTGTGCCGGTCTTTTGAGGATCTTTTAGCAGGCGGTTTTTCTACCTTTTGCAGTTGCATATTTAGCCCAACTGACATAGTGCCTCCTCGCAAATCGTTTTCCTCCGGCTCTTTTTTTAACAAAGGCACAATTTCTGTTGACGGCGGCGGAGAAGGGCCGACTCCTTCAGCGTCAGTTACATGCTGCCCTACTGCTGTAATGGTGTAATCTTCAGAATCGCCGAGTAATGGATCAGCAGATAATATTTTCGAGTCGCTAACCTCGTCATCTTCCCGTTCAATGTTTTGTTTGTTCTCCATGTTGAAGAAAAAGCCAAAAACAACTGAAATAGCTGAAATCCAAGAAAAATGGGAAACAAAAGGATTAAACCCCAGAAAAATTATAACCGTAATTAAATCCACAGAAAGCGTGAAATTTGAAGAGAAACAAAGGGTGTGCTTGTGAATGACGAAAAATTAGAAAATGGGGAAGCGACTGAGAAGCAAAAAAAATCGTCGTTGGTTCTAATAGTTGACTGATAATTTTCTACAGTGAAGAAGGAGCTTGAGATAAAAAGAAAAAGAAATAACAGTAAAAACTGATTCAGAGAAGATAACAGACCTTAGGGATGAAAAAGAGAGCGGGTTCCATACAAGGAGAAAGAGTAAGGGGCCCTCTTGCCAAACCCTATAAAAGATCAGAGGGAGAAGAGTATCCACGGCTAAGAATCTCAAGGAAAAGATTGGGCTCCGAGATCTTGACACGTCACTGCATTACTGAAGAATGGCCAGCAGTTAATTTTGGATTTTGATAGAAAACTAGGGTGGGGTCCATTTGTTGGGCCTTTGCTGTAAAATAACTGGATTTTGAATTGGGATAATTCGTCATGAGTTGTACTTGTTCTGACTGGATAATAAATTGTCTCTAAATTATGTTGCTTAAAATTAGACCACGGTTTTTTCCTTTTCCTTTTTAACAGAAAATGAATATTGCATATTGGGGTTTGATTTTTTACAAACTTGTTTTTAGTTTTATGACCCTATCTTTTTTTTACACATGAGAGATTTACTTTTACACGTAAGAGATCTTTCTTTTACACGTAAGAGATCTAAAAAAGACACTTTCTTAAATTCAAACATTGTAAGAGGCTTATAGGCCTAAAACCTCCGCAACAATGAATTGCTGGCATTCTAATAACAAAGTATAGAAGGAAGAGAAAACAAAGAAGAGCAGGTAGTCGATCTCATAAAGTTTGTGAGGGCGTGTGATTTTGGTTCAAGAAAGCGAAGAGATTTGAGATTATGAGAAGTTTTTTGGCACCATTAAGAGGATATCAGTATTTAGTAGTCTTCAACATCCAATAATATATGCCTCCTTTGAATAACAAGCAACCTCTGAAAACTTGCAGAATATACCATTTCATGCAAGTTTATGACCCCAGCTTTTCCGTCTTAAGAATTGTCCAAAGGCCATTCACTATCGTCCTGCAATTCAATTGCATATTATAGATTGTGGTTGAAGAATCTTTGCGGGTGGAAATGAATGGCAGAGAGAGATGTCAGTCACACAAGCAAGCTGAAGTTTTTACTCCGATAAGCTTGCTGGCCTAGCTAATTGCAGCTCTCACATTCTTGTACTTCCTCCTGATAACAAAGAAATATCTGCAAGCATCACTGGAACTTCCTTGAATTGAAAGCGGGGCGGCCTCTTGTAAACAAACATATTGGTATAAGCCTTGTGGTTCATCAATAATGCTTTGTCGAAACAAACTTAGTGGTGTAACCCCTGTAGCTCAAGTCAAGAGACATATCCATCATTCGAAGAAAAAAATCACATTTTGGAAGTGTGAAAACCATAAATCCTTCAGCAGTTCCAAGAGAAGCCGTCACTGTGGTTGGTGCCTCTGATTTTAACCAAGCGACAAGCTTGAAATGTTCTCAACAATTATTTATGGAACTGTAGTATTAAGATCAGTAACTTTCTCATCCACCCAAACCCTCGTATCTTGAATCTTCAGTTCCACCATTCAAGAGCAAAAAAGCCTGGAGAACAAATAACCATGACAACCCTGGACAGTATCAAGCAAAGGACTAGTCTGACATGCTTCTTGTACAGGACGGTTCATCCATTTCTTTGATAATTCTTCTGCACTCGCAGCAAGCTGATGCTGCAATACAGCTGCACCTAGCGGTCCTACCACATTGAGCCTTGTTGCAGCGGATACAACATCTCTCATTGTAGTAAACATGTAAGCCTTCTGAGATGTTTCAGCATTTAATCCAAGAAGCCCACATACAAGTCCAAAAATGGGGGCATGGTGGAACCGGACAGCTCCGCTAGTCAAAGACATTTCTCGCATAGTTTTTAAAGACGGAACTTCCTGGAACACGGCGGCAGCTACCCTCAAAAGTGCTGATCCTTGTGAGATAGATGCTTTCCTCCCAACTTCATTTGTTAGTGTTGCATCCAATATTTTATCAAGTTTATACCATGTTTCGATATTAGGAGATGCATTCAAAGTACAGATGAAAGGAAGCAATAGACTTCCTGTATTCTCCAGTATATGGGTCACAAATGTTCGAAGGTCTTCAGGCCCAGAGACTATCCGAGCTTGAATAGCGGCCTCAAGGCCAAAAGAATGAGCAAAACCACCCGTAGGAAGAACTGAATCAAGCAATTGCCATTGGCTCCACTGAAGTAGTGATCCATTCGGTGCGAATTGGGGAGTGTCATCAATTTTCTCTACCACATCCTCCATTTCCAAAGGCCTGAGCATTTAGAACTCAAAAGCAGGACAGAACAACCAAATAAAAAACAGGAGGAAACAGCAATCCATGTTGAACCAGTCAGAATGGTCCAAGAAAGATTATATAAATTAAGTTCATTTTGATAACTCTAAACAAAAGAAATCTTGTGCAATCAAATAGCAAAAGGAACCTTTTGCAATTAGATACGTTGCCAGAAATAGCAATAGATTCCTGTCCAACGAAAACTTACTGAAGATCTTAAACGTATTAGTCTTGGAAAAATCAGTTGATGATCAAATAGTCAGATCAGATTCTTACTAACAACCTTATGTCCCAGCAAGCGAAACTGATCATATATATCCTGACAGATTTCTTTCATACACAATTTTTAGAATCTCTAACCAAGGTTTCACCCACTGGCTACTCAGAAGCAAACAATTGTTACTTTAACACCCAAGGTGTTCTATATCGTTGAGACTACCAAGATAATATCTGTGCAATCACATAGGACCGAGTTGCTGTCTTGCAGTTAATTAGACATCAAACTTTTTAAAGCAGCTATATTCTTAATAATTTATATTTATATGATTGCTATGCTTAGAACTACTTTGATTATAGACCATCATTTCTTCAGTTTACAAGTAGTATTGAATTCTCTAGTTAACAGCAACTTAGTTAAGTTTGAGTATAACGCGCTGATCCACGAAGTGACAACAGTGCGGATGAAGCATAAAGTACTCCATCGTCAACACATCCAGAAAAGGTTAGCCAGAAACTTATACACAAAGCGTGACTCCATGATACATAAACTATTCACATTTCCTGTACAAAATCACTTTCGTTTCCATTTGCTGGACTGCTAAATCTGAAATGCTTAAAGATTTAAAAATAAAAAATAAAAATCATTCTGGTGCTTTACAATCCACGGACTAGCATCTAGAATCCAATCTCTAATAATTGATGATTTAGATAGACGATAAATCGTTATTCGTTAAGAACATTTAAATTATAACTTTCGCTAATCGTATAAAAATACTCAGTGGCCATATTGAATAAATAAATTGGATAAAAGGGTATACCTTAGATCAAATGATGGCAAATACTCAAATTTGCGTGGTTAGAAATTGAAGCATGTAGTTTTGTTCATACAAGGAGTAAGCGAACAACTCTCAGTCTTCGAATTTCATCTGAATAACTCAAAACAAACAACATAAAAATTAATATATTATGTGGTCTGAATTATGATCAATTGAAGCAAATAAGAAGCGAATTTAAACAGTGGGGAGTATTAGATTTTCAACCGTTGGATGCGAAAGGAAGTTTTGAAGGTGAGGGAGAGGGAGAGACAGAAAGCCGCGGAAACAGATAGACGGAGGAAGCTCAGAATATCAAAACCGATGGGCTGATATAAACCGGATCCGAGCCCAAATTCGAAATCGATTGGAGGAGCATGGGTTACTTGATGGAAATTTTGAAGGTGAAAAGACAGGAATACCTATAAAACTTAAAATATTTACCCTACTCTACCCATAAAAGAATTCTACCCATTAAATAATTAAAATCCCCTACCCATTTAATAAACAAACGAGTATCTCAAAATAACTACCCCACGCTAATGCCCTACCTATAAAACACAAAAGCTGCTCAAAATTTTAGAAAATTAGCGCACAAAAATTACCAGCATCTGTTGAAGATTTGAAGATCGCCACCCTAATTTGAAGATCGAAAGTGTGAAAAAACATAGCGAAGATGCTGATTTCTCTTTAAAATTTGAGTTTTTCTCCTTAAATTTTGTAGAAGTGGCTGATTTGACTTTAGAAGATGCTAAAACTTTTGATGCTCAAAATCACATCTTATTTTTTCGATTTTGATTTCGCAGATTACAAAAGTTTAGCACTCAAACTTCTGAATTTTTAGCTGAAAGTTCTGTTCTCAGTTTGGAGATCTGGAGGTTTGAATCATAACAGCTGATTTGATTTCGAAAAATCTTTTGTTGAAATTCAGTATTTGACATCAACACTGTTGAAATTTGCATCGCCAATATTTAATTTTGGACATAAAAGTAGTTATAACTTCAGAATCATGGAAAATATACCAATTCTATTGCAGCATAGTGCAGAATGGGATGATAACCATAATTTCATAAACTTTCATGTTGATGCAATTCTAATAAATACCTGTTGGAAATTTGAACAACTTCTCAGAGAAATTGCAAAGCAACTGCAAAAGGACACTAACATAATAGTTATTCAGTATGCTATTGCTCAAGGATATCCACCAATTATAATTTGCAGCGATATGAGTGTTATTGTTTACATGGAATTGAAAAAATCAAGTGCAGGGATGACAACACTCCCACTATGTGTGTCATTTGCTAAAAATACTATAACTGCAAACACCTCCAGTTTCGATGTTGCTATAATTTCATCAGAAAGTGCACAATTTGAAAGCAGTGATATGATTTGTACTTTTGATGTGCAAGAAGAAGATGATATCAGTATAGAACTTGATGATGCAAACATCATAACTGATCAATCTCATCAAAAAGTTGAAAAAGAACAAATTTACAAAGACAAGAACCTGCTGGCTCTCATTATGAAATAGTATGCCGTTAGAGAAAAATATCAATATCGGGTTAATAAATCATGCCCAAGAAGGTTTGTCTATATTTTTTCAAGTAAAAAACTATGTGATACCTATATAGTATATCAGGATGTTATATCGGTATACTATGTGAGTATAGAATTCTATTGGTTTGTGTGTGTGTGTTTTATCAGTAAAACATGATACCGATATAGTATATTACTATGCTATATCAGTATACTATGTAAGTATAGAATTGTATTGGTTTGTGTTTGTATTTTTTTATCAGTAAAAGATGATATGGATATAGTATATAAGTATGCTAAATCAGTGTATTATGGGAGTATAGAATTGTACTAGTTTGTCTGTATTTTTTATCAGTAAAAGATGATATTGATATAGTATATTAGTATGCTATATCAGTATACTATGCGAGTATATAATTGTATTGGTTTGTGTGTTTGTTATTATCAGTAAAACATGATACCAATATAGTATATATGTATGCTAAATTAGTATACTATGTGAGTATAGAATTGTGCTGGTTTGTCTATATTTTTTATCAGTAAAATATGATACTGATATAGTATATAGGTATGTTATATGAGTATACTATGTGAGTATAGAATTGTACGGATTTGTGTGTGTATTTTTTATCATTAAAATATGATACATAACTGCATTTGTATTATAAACAGGTATACCCTTAAATGTGTGGATGAAATTAAGATGCACTTGGAAACTTAAAGCATCAAGCCTGCGAGCATCAAATCTTTTCAAAGTGACGAATTTCAATTCTATCCACAGTTGTTTAAATGATAAGAGATTTTGTTCACAAAAGTAAGATGTCTCAACTTTTGTTGCAGTTGTGGTACAAGATAAACTTCTTGACCCGAAAACCATATATACACCAACAGATATCCAGCGAGACATCCAAAAAGCATATGGTATGGACTTAAACTACATGCAAGCATGGAGATCAAAAGAAAAAGGAATGCAATTGTTGAGAAGAACACCAAGTGAGTCATACAAGAAAATACCAACATATCTTTATATGTTAGAGTACGCTAACCCAAGATCAGTGACACGACTACATACTGAAGTAGATGGGAGTTTCTTGTATGCATTCATAGCTATATATGCATCGATTAGAGGATGGATCTATTGTAGGCCAACAGCTGTAGTTGATGGAAGTTTTTTAAAGTCAACATATAGAGGGACCATACTCACGGCTTCCACGCAAAACGCAGAGGGTAAGAAAAAACGTTGTCTCAAAATTAGTATTGAATAATTGATGCACTTTACTATTTTAAAAGTACAATCCAATTACATTCAGTTAAAGCAGCAAAAAAGATTTTCAAATATAATATGATACCAATATTGTATACAAGTATACCAACAAAGTATATAATTATTTTGCTACATACCTGCACCTACCTATGACTATACTACTATATGAAATGATAAATTAACATTGTGTGTTGTAACTAATATCTTTTCCTTTGGTTTTATAGGACATATTCTACCCCTCACATATACAATTATTGATTCGAAAAACGATGCATCGTGGGAGTGGTTCTTCGTGCAGTTAAGAGAAACCTATGGACAAAGAGAGGTAATGTGCATTGTATCAGACAGGCATGATCGTATATGGAGAGCAACTTCGATTGTCTATCTAGAAGCCCTCATTATGCATGTATGTTCCATCTGTGGAACAACATAAAGACAAACTTCAGGAAGAGCTAAAAACAAATCAAAGAAGTATACTTTGCGTTATCAAGAGCATACACTGTTGAAGAATTCAACAGACATATGGCAGAGTTAGAAGTTATTGATAGTAAAGTAAAAACCTGATGGATATTGGATATGATAAATGGTCCCGGGCGCATAAGGCAAATAGAACCATGACCATGACATAGAATATTGAAGAATCAGTAAATGCAGCAAACAAGCACGCAAGAGACCTCCCAGTTGTGAATTTGCTTGACTTTATGACAACATTGATTCAGAAATGGAATTACACCAATCAGAAGGATGTCGTGGAATCATTTATGAAGATCGGTGTAAAGTATGAAAAAATATTGGCAGATAATACTATCTTATCACAGACGATGATGGTATGCATTTTCAGAATCATAAAAACACTGCATGTACTGTAATTTTACTTCTGCACCTTAGAGATTTCACTAAAAAACTGTATATTATTATTAACAAAATACTATTACTTCATACAACTAATGACTTTTCTTAATTAAAATTATATTAGGTATTTCCATCAACTTAATGATTACGTTTAGTAATTGATGGCCAAACAAGAAATGCAATGCGCCTACATGAAAAAAATTGCACTTGTGGAAGGTTTCAGCTAGACGATATTCCATGTCCACGTGCAATGGCAGTTATACAAAAATTCTATATGAATTCATACAAGTATTGCTCGGATTACTACAACATAAACTACTTGCTGAAAACATATGAGATACTAGTAAACCCTTTGCCTGATGAAACAACGTGGCAAATTCTAGAAAATGTCTCTTCGCAGGTGGTACTGCCATTAAAAGGAAAAATCAAACCAGGAAGACCTAAAAAGAAGAGAGGCATAGGAGGTTGGGAAGGAAATACAGTTACATGTGCACTATAAGGGAGAAAAGGACACAACCAGAGAACGTGCCGAAATATTCCAAAGAAAGATTGATATAATGCTTCAATATTTTTATAGAACTCATATATCGTAGAATCACATCATTTGATTTTCAAAGAAATAAAATGCATATCTTGCACTAGACATATATTTAGTATGGTGATTCTTTGCCAAATTACTTTTAGGCAAAAATTTATATGGCTACTTGTGTTTTCAATAAGAATTTATTTATTTTTTATTTTAGTATATAAAAGTGGGATGCATTTATATCTAGTTGTTGCAGGAAAAAATGTACTAAAATATAATGTGATACCCAAGTGGTATATCTGTATACCTTATTGGTATCAAAATATGTGCAAAAATAGAAGTGGTGCCCCAAATACAATATTTGTACATACATCGTGAACAAAACGGGCAAGCTTTGCAGCTCATGTCAGTATTGAAGTATAACAAATTGGAAGCCATTTACATGCAGTTATTGTACATCATCAGGTGCTCAAATACAATGTGATACCCGAATGGTATATTTGTATATCTTATTGGTATATAGTTGTATTGCACTAATATGGTTAAACAAAAATATGTGCAGAAATACAAGTGGTTCACCAAATAAATGCAACATCTGTACATACTTCCTCAACAAAATGGGCACACTTTGCAACTCATGTCAATATTGAAGTATAACAAAAAGGTACTCAAATACAATGTGATACCGAATGGTATATTTGTATACCTTAATGATATATAGTTGTATTACACTAATATGGCTAAACCAAAATATATGCAGAATTACAAGTGGTGCACCAAAAAATGCAATATTTGTACATACTTTCTCAATAAAATTGGCACACTTTGCAAGTCATGTCAGTATTTACATCTAGTTGCTGCAGGAAAAAGGATACTCAAATACAACGTGATACCCAAATGGTATATATGTATACCTGATTGGTATATAGTTCTACTGCACTAATATATCTGAAGCAAAATCTTTGCAGAATACAATTGGTGCAGCAATGCAAAATCTGCACAGAATTTCTTAGATTCAACTACAACTAAAAACTACACTCAATACAAATTCAAAACCAGTTCACTTTCTAAAAATATTTATTCTCATTCAAATCAATGCTCGCCCTATTCTTTAACCAAATAGCAATATAGTTCCTCTTTTTGAACGTCGTAACTCCCT